TGCTATAGATTCAAGTGATGTTTCAACAGAGGATGAAGAGATAAAAATTGCTAGTAGAATAACAGAGGCCGATTTAAAGAATGATATCAAGTCACTTGATAGGGCTTTACAGCGCACGTTATACCTTATCGTCAAGAAACCAAGAGAATCCCATTCATGGCAATTTCCTCAAGGCGGAGTTGAGAAAACGGAAACGTTGGTTCAAGTAATTTGCTATTCGATTTTATTAATAGATCTCAAAATTCAATGTATATTTAAATTATGTATATAATATATAATAATTTCGTGACTAATAACCCTCGAAAAGGCCGCTAGTCGAGAGTTGGAAGAAGAGTGTGGTAATTGTATGGACGTTTGGTTCGTTGGGAGAAGACCGATTGGGTATTACAAGTATGACTATCCAAAATGCTTTATAAGAGATAATATCGAATATAAAGGCGCTAAGGTTTTTTAAATTTTTGCTTTTCTTAAATTGCTATTTTATTCATTATAAATTAACTCAACTCTGTTAGGTGTTCTTCATGGCTGCACACATATTCGCTGGTCAAGTCAAAGTAGATAATAAAGAAATTATAGATTTTGCGTGGGTCACCAAGCAGGAGATGAAAAATTATGTACATACTGATTACTATGAAGCTGTTAAAGATATGCTGTCTGAACACTAAATTTTCATTTGTAACCACACTTTATTTTTAATTCTTACTAATTTAATTAACTTGCTGATATTTTATATTATTCTATAATTTTATAATGCTTTTTGTTGATCGGTCGATACCTGTTTCGATTTTTGTTTCAAATATATTTAGTTTACGGGTGTTGCCAAGGAAAACCTGTCATCGAATTTTTAAATTTATAACTATCGGACACACAAAAAATACTATTCCTGATGGATCGGCAATACCGGAGTTAAAAATTTATTTGAGTACTGTTCCTGATAGGGTTTTAAAAATGAACTCCACTCCTAACTTTTTTTCATTATAGCATAGTAGTATAGTATTTTGGAGACTCTTTTTTAGAACCCTATCAGGAACGGTATGTGTAAATCATTTTTTTCCCCACCCTATCATGAACGATCCATCAGGAATAGTATTTTTGCATTGGTCACAATTAAAATTTGATAGACCGAGTCCGGTAAACAAAACTCCGATATGAGGTTGCAATGGAATCGCATATTCCGGTACCACTCCGTCAACCCAGATTGGTGTAGATTTAAAAATATGCCGATAAATTTGCTGCAATTTGGCACAGCTGGAGTAGAATCTGAAGGTTTAATTTAATGGAATAGATTGAAAACTGGATCAACCCTTGGCGACATTTACATGATTTGCTTTACCAAATCTGAATCACGCACACATGTTATTTTTATCAATGTAACAGTAGTAGCCATGCCTTTTTATACATATGGACGATCTTAATACTCACCGGAGGTGAAATTCACCGGTTATATGATTAGCCAATCAAATCGCAGGATCTTTGTGTAACAAAAATGAAGAATTTTTTTTTAAAAAAACAAAAAACTTTAATATCTTAAAATTTTATTATGAAACTTGCTTTATTTTATTAAGTAAAAGTTTTCAACGCTTAATTTTACATATAATAAACACTATAACCTTAATATAGTTCTTGTTCTAACTCTAAAGTTAATAAAAAAATTTTTTTTTATTAGGAAATAAACAAACAAAACTATATACCAGTTAATTTCACCTATCATATATCTATATCTATCATTTAACTCTTTCTGATGATTATCTGGACAACAAAAATCAAAAAACCAAATTATGGTTAGTATTATAGAAGACACTAAAGTAAATAATAAACTTGGTCCTATATAAGTAGGTGTGTTGTCGACGAAGTACCAGAAGTGTAAAACCGAGATGCGGTCTACTTTGGATTGGTTTTTGTAGAGGTCAAGCTTTGGTCGGTAGACTTCTCTATTATATTCGGCATCCAAACCAGAAGGTTATTCTGAGAACATAGAACGTCTTGGATGGTACCAGGAGCATTATAAACTTTGGTCATCTCTATACAACCGTAAAACTTACAAGGAACAACCACAAAAAAGTTTCGTTGTCCCACCACTTTTTTTTGAGTAAATTTTGTCAAAAAAGTGGGTGTCTTAGCTTATCCCCTCCTAAAGATCGATATGTAAATTTCCAAAACAGCCAGTATTGTTGTTTATCCAAAACGGGAGATACCATTAGAAGTGATTACTCTTTTGGGTAAGTTTCGATACTTGTGCGATCAGATTTGTTTGAAGAAGCACACTGCGCGATAGATTCTATTCGCATGTGGCTTAGAGAATGAATAAGAGCAGATCTGAAACAACACGTGAGAGTGACATGACTTGAATGTCATTGATCCGTTAACAATACTCCTAGGCTACTGGTGCGATTTCAGCTACTCTGTCTAGTTTGGTTCACTAGTCTAGCTTTGTTTT